AAGAGATAGATATAGATAAAGAGATAGATAAGCAATAGATTAGATAGATAGATAGACAGATAGACAGACAGATAAGAACGATAGATAGATATAGATAAGAAAGAGATAAAGAGATAGATAGATAGACAGACAGACAGACAGACATTGGAATATATAGATATATTTTGTTGTGTTTCAGTTCATTTATTAATTCAGGAAGTGTAAGCCAAATGAATTTCACTCCCACACTCTCAGTGGCTCAACAAGAACAGCGACAGAAAACTTCCAAGCTCGAGACCTTTTGTATACATTTCCACATCTAAATACGGCTGTACTGGAGGGGGTTACATCCTGCTTTGCGATTCCTTTCCTGCTTTTTTGCCTGAGCTTTTGTAAACACCTGCCAATTTAGCCGATTCTTAATTAAGGCTATACTGCACTGTTTTACTGTTTTAAAATCTTTGATAATACTGTTTTTATTATCGGGTATGCCACCCGGACTCACCCGCCTGCAAGGTCGGTGGTATATAAATTGAACAAGTATAATATATAAACACCGGTCACTGTATTATTTTGTTTTTCTTCCCTGATTTATAGTTGTGCTTACTGTCCCATCACTGAGAACAAACTGTTTAACAGAGAAACTCAGTAAATAGAACACCATTCATAGCTCGTGAAGAATTGCTCTTCTATTGCTCAGTTCAAATCGGCACGAAAAATTAAACAAGCAAAATTCCACATTTAAACGGGCACGCAGAAAAAGAGAAGGCGTGTTGGCGATCCATTTCTGGGGCTGTAACTAAACTCCTGTGTGAAAGCTGGGACAAGATAATCCTTGATTTACAAGTGTTCATTTAGTGACCATTAGAAGTTATGACGACACTAATTGTAGGGGAAAATACCGTGCGGAATCTGGTTTAATGTTTGATGTGTAAGATAAAGTTGGGTGGTAGACTCACATTAGTACTTAAAGGGGAAATCTTTTGGATTATTAGAATTAGGATGGAACTTTTGGAATAATGAAATAAGAATATGCGATGAAATTGCAAATGCGACAGATAAAAGTATAAAGTATTATGAATATGAAAGTATGAGAACTATTTATATAGAATAAATTTGAAGAATGTAAGAATTTTTGAGAAAATGTATAGAAGAGGGAGTTCAGAGGAAGACCCAGAGCCACCCCCTCTTCATTCTAGGGCATGCAGGGAGGAATGGAGAAGGGAGCAACATGGGTTACGGGGGAGAGAAAGGCCCTGATTCCCTTCATTAGCTGCAGCTGGGAAAACAGGATTTAAAAAGGGCGTTTGCTCACAGCACCTTGCTGGAAGCAAAGTGTGAATTAGCTTTGTTTGTCGAGTCTTACTTGGGTTCTGGCTTTTGAAGTCTGCAATTCCTTATCCTGCGCTGTCTCAGTAATTGCTACAGCATGGTTTGTGTTGGTTTTTATTGATAATTTATATGTACTTTGGGTTCAGACTGGATTTCTTCCCTTTAAAAACTGTTCTTGGGAGAGTTTTCTTTTCTCCAGTTGATGATAACTTGACATTGGGGCCCAAGTTGAAGGTATCAAAGAGATTTTACCTATTTTTGTGACTTTGTTGCTTTTGTGCCAAGCCCTTTTGGTTCATCACAAACAGCTTTAATCAACCTAATGCCCTAAACATTGTTTGGGAATTCTCAGAATGGCATTTCCAGTAAAAATGGGAAGAACCCAGTTTGGGGAGGGCCATATTAGGAAGACCCAAGCTTCCAGGATCATCTCAAGAAGATATCAAGAGAAGGAGCTCTTAAGAGACCCGAGAAGTCTTCTGTAGCTTCACGACATGTCGGCCGTTTGGAGCCTCACCTGAAATGACCTCCAGCAACAGCATCAATTTGAGACCATCGCGGAAGTCTTCGTCGATGTTCTCGATCTGCGTGCCGGCTTTCCGAAGGTGGGAATTGCACCATGCTGTGAAAGTCTAGAAGAGAAAAGAGGAAGAGATCTAAAATTTGGGAACATTTAAGACTCAAAATGCACAGACGGGCACAGCACTAGATTCTTGTGGTTCTTGAAGACGAAAGAGGCAAACCAATGGAGACCTTATTTTGACCGAGAAGAAGACGTCCTATAGGATGCCGATTTTCTGTCCCTCATTCCATCCACTATGTAGCTGGTATCAGGCCCAAAGAACCAAGAACGAGAGAAGTTACTTCCGAATAGTTCCTGCATCGTTGCTTGCCTGCAGACAGAATCTTGACAGACTAAAGCAACTGTCTGCTGTAACGATTAGTTATTTGCAATAACTATCTGCAAATCACAATATTTGTGATCCCCTTTTGTGACCTTCTGACCGGGAAAGGAGAAGCCAGATTCACTTACAAAACCATGTTACAAAAGTTTAACATTTTCTGTGATTCACTTAACCGCTGTGGCAAGAAAAGCCGTAAAACGGGGAAAAACTCACTTCATAAGTCTTCTGGCTTAGCCACAGAGGTTTGGGGCTCAGTTGGGTAAGACAAGGAGCCACAAGGGTCACAGGGCTTGGCGTGAACTTGGGTGACCTTCCTGGAACCCTCTTTCAAAAGCAGGGGAAGAAATTTAGAAAAGCCCCGATTGCAATTTCTTCTTTTTTGTGTGTGGGGGGAAAATTGCAAAAGCCGCACAAAGTTTACTTGGGCCTTGTCTGCTGTACTAGGGTTGGCTTCAAAAAAACAACCCCGTTAAGATAATTTCTGGAAGAAAGGATGAGTAAGGAAGACACGTGGGGGAAAATGGTCTGAAGGAAACTGTTTCTGGTCCTCTTTCACCATTACAACGAATCATCAAGAGCACAAGATCAAAAAGGGAAAAATGGAAATTATGATTGTCCCAGGATCTGATGAAACCATAAGATGCGACCAAAATGAAACAACTATAAAAGGAGATTCCCATCACCACCACCACCACCAAAATAGGCTGGGTTTATGCATCGCATTAAGAATAGAATAGAATAACAGAGTTGGAAGGGACCTTGGAGGTCTTCTAGTCCAACCCCCTTCTCAAGCAGGAAATTCTATATCACTTTAGACGAATGGCTGTCCAATGTCTTCTTCAAAACCTCCAATGATGAAGCACCCACAACTTCTGGAGGCAAACTATTCCACCAGTTGATTGTTCTCTCCCTGACAGGAAATTCCTCCTTAGTTCTAAGTTGCTTCTCTCCTGGATTCGTTTCCATCCGTTGCTTCTTGTCCTGCCTTCAGGGGCTTTGGAGAATAGCTTGACTTCCCTCTTCTTTGGGGCAGCCCCTGAGATATTGGAAGACTGCTAACATGTCACCCCTAGGCCTTCTTTTCATTATTCTAGACATACCGAATTCCAGCAATCGCTCTTTATATGTTTTATCCTCCAGTCTCCTAATCATTTTCATTGCTATTCTCTGCACTCTTTCGAGACCTAGTTTGGAAAATACATCAGCACTGGGGATCATACAACAGCCTAAACTAGGGGTCTTCAAACTTGACAGCTTTAAGACTGGTGGACTTCAACTCCCAGAATTCCTCCTCCTCCTCCCAGTCATGTTAGCTCATGAATTTTGGGAGTTGAAGTCCACCAGTCTTAAACTTGCCAAGTTGGAAGAGCCTTGCAAGTAAGTCCTTCCACTGTGCAAATATATTTAGACCAGGGGTCCCCAAACTTGGCAACTTTTAAGACTGGTGGACTTCAACTCCCAGAATTCCTCCTCCAGTCAGGTTAGCTAAGGAATTCTGGAAGCTAAAGTCCACAAGTCTTAAACTTGCCAAGTTTGAAGACCATCTATCCTATCTACCTACCTACCTATCCATCCTCTCTCTCTCTCTCTTCCTTTCTCTCTATTCTCTATCTATTTCAGGGGTCTCCAAACTTGGCAACTGTAAGACTTGTGGACTTCAACTCCCAGAATTCCTCCTCCAGTCAGGTTAGCTCAGGAATTCTGGGAGCTAAAGTCCACAAGTCTTAAACTTGCCAAGTTTGAAGACCCTTGGGCTAAGGCAAGACACAAGAAACCACATTAAGGGCTGAAGAACAGATCCCTCAATACTGTGGCTCAACAACAGAGAGAAGTTGAGCCCACGTGCCACTTTCAACGACAGCCGTTAGAGAAACCTGCCTTCCAAGGTTTTCAAGAACTAGCCACCTATATATTGTGGGGACAGGGGTCTCCAACCTTGGCCACTTTAAGACTGGTGGATTTCAACTCCCAGAATTCCTCCGCCAACCTCGGCCACTTTAAGACTTGTAGAGTTCAACTCCCAGAATTCCTCTGCCTACCTTGGCCACTTTAAGACTTG